CCAGAGAGGACATGGCAGCTCTAGAGAAGGATTACGAAGAGGTTGGAACTGATAGCTTGGGTGAGGAAGATGAAGGAGAAGAGTATTGAGCAGGAATTCATTCTCACTGTTGTCTGAGCCTTATTTTTGTATGGAACTCCAGAAATAAAGTTTCTTCTCTTGGCTGAACCCCTTTGTCTAAATGGTTTATTTATTTATTTTTATTCAAAGAACAAAAGTGTTTGGCATCAAAAGTTTGAAGTGAGAGTTCAATTAAGTTTTCAATAGCAGGCTGAGTAGTAGTGTATTTTCCTTCAGCACTGGACATTTCCAGAAAATATTTACAACAGTTTAAGTAGTTCTTGGTTATTGTAATTTTCATGACCAATTAACTTTTTAGATGAAACTTTGGAAATGTTAGAGCTGAGGTACAAACAATACTTTAAGTGTAATTTCACTTAATGGTCACTAGAGGGCAGTGATTCTATTTGTGCCTAAGATCATTAAGTGAAAAACCAACTGCCAAGTTGCCAACTGCTGCAGTTTTATTTTCATATTTAATTATTTGAATGTACAAACGTGCTTGCACTTCATGTTAAACTTGACTCCAGAGTGGTTACCCTTTGTCAGGAACAACTGCCTGAGAAGGATTAAAGTCCAAAATAAGGCGTGGAATTTGGTGTGGCTCTAGGGACAGAAGGTGCCTCATTCTGGCAGTCAGTTGGTGTTTAAAAATACTTAATGCTGCTTTTACTCAACTCAATTTACTGTAACTGAGTGGTATGCCTAAAGCTTCCCTCTTACTAAAAGTAATTCAAAGGGTTTGTATTCTAATTAAAACTTGGTTATTTTTTGTAATAGTAAACGTAAAAATTCAAAATGTTTCGATTAATAAAGTGTCACTTTTGAACACTACAATAAATTGTGAGAATAGATTGGGGAAAAAAAACAGATCCATTATCACGGGGCTTTTATTGAAAGCAGTTTTTGCAAATACCCTTACATTTTCCCAGTTTTATCTACAGTTTTTCTTAGCAAACTTAAAGGGAGAAAAATAGAAGCTATTTCTTTATAATCCCCAACTACCCCCTCAAAAAAAAAGAAAAAACAACTCTTCTCACTGTAAGACATGGAGTTAAGAATCATTCTGTGTTTTTCCTCTCTCAGTATCATGAGGTAATCCAACTCAACTTTGGGAAATAAGTAAATTTAGGATAGTGTGCTTTTCAACAAAAATATCTTGCAGCAGGGTATTGTGAATGTTGAAAGGTGCACTTTAAAAAGTACAACAATACAGAAATGTGCTCACAAAGTGGCCTCATGCATACAAAAAATGTCTCTAAAGGGCAAAGAGCTGTGATTATAAAGCTTTAGGTAAAGGGTGGATAGGTTTCTATGCTTTCACAGACAAATGCAGCGTGTCAACCCACCTTTTGTAGAATGAAAGATATTCATAGATTGCGCAATCATAACATACAGTTACTGCTTTGACAAAGACTGATTGTAGGTATCTTCCTCTCCATATATACCAAACCCTTAAAACTGACATAGGATTCGAATAACATTATGTGTCATCACATGAACATATTGTTACTAAACTACAGCAGTGACACTCAAGCTTCTTGTTTTGCTTCTCATATCTTTCTCATTTCTCATCAGTCTGTTAAAATATCAACAGACTGAATACATGCATAAAATCTCAGTGAAAAGAGAAAATGTTGCACAGTTGTTAGCCATTGTCACATATAAAGATTTGGTGCAATGCAATTAGTAGAAATGTAACACTTTGGAGCCTTTCTTATGGGAGTGAAAAGCAATAAGATGAATTCGTGATGAGCATTTATCGAAGCCTTGGGAGAACATTTAAAAAAAATAAAGCATGCTTTTCAGCTATTAAACAGCAGACATAGATCAAAAGGAAATAATTTATAGCCACAGTTATCACATTCAAATACTTCAGGTCTGCTGCCGTGCCAAATCAAGGTCAAGGATAAGTGGGGAAAAATCAGTCCGCATATGGTAGCTGTAATACTGTAAGAAATAATTTTGTGACAAAATGAGACACACTACAGATATAGAGTTGGGAGAGTCAGTCCGTATAAGCTAAAAAGGGGATTTGTTAAAACCCACACTGAAAAGTATGATATATTTGTGTAAAACAGACAAAGTTGACTTTTGAATTGACACATTGCTTCTAATATGTCTGCTTCAAAAACATGCTTTACATGTCCAGTCTGCAACTTTATGTAAGAATCATATTCAGATGAACTGAGAGGTCTCAGTTTTGTAGTGTCTTTCAGTTTCTTGCACTGGAAAGAGATGAGCTCCACGGAGCCTCGCAAAGTTACACCAACAAAAAATTTCAGTGTACTCAAGGTGTATCCTGTCAGCCATCAGCGAAGTCTTTCATCTCTGGTCCGTATGAAGGAGAAGTAACAACATCATCCTCCAACACCGCTGGAAACCTGCAGCAAACCCACATCGGTGATTTGTTGTATTTAATTTTTGCTATATTGTCTTTGATATGTTATACCCAGTTTCCAAAAAAGTTGTGATGTGAAAGAAAATAGAAAAGGAACTAAATGCGATAAACTGAGTATTCCCTCTTTAGACTACAACAAATACATAATCATCTATGCAAGTTACTTTCTGAATTGCAGAAAGACTATATGCATTTCCAGGTATTTTAAGATTATCTATAAACTATAAAAATATCCTGATTTCATGATTTTAGAGTTCTCTAGTGTTATTCAATGAAGTTGAAGTAAATGTTTATGAAGAAATTTCTGCAACACATATACAATGATCTCCCACACATAAAGTTAGAAGCAGCAGGATGTCCTGAAAGTTTTTTTCAAAGCGTACATACTGTTGTGGCATTATACATATTTCACCTAATAACCCAATTCTGCTCCCATGCATCAACACTATCACAAAGATGGGGAACAGATAAATTACCCAGTTGAGCTGTAACTGTATCTTAATTGTTTATGAAACACATTTTTTAATACACAGTCTTACAATATCTCATCTAGACTCATCTAATATCATTACACCTCATCTTCAATATTATCTCATTTTTATCTAATATCTCCAGTAAACAGGATGGTTTTACCTGATGTGGTAATAGGCGTCTCATGACAAAATGTGAACGAAGAGAATTGCCAGGCCGATGTTGAGTAGGATTACCATGCAGACCATTATTGTGTTGGGGCCCTTGAAAGAAAAGAACACATGTTGCATGTGTAGCGAATTCAGCAGATGACAAACAAACATTTAAGTATAAGTGACACTTTGTGAATGTGGAAAAATGATGGAGGATTGTAAAAATTAGGACTTATAATCATTACAACACAGAAGTAAGTAATTTCTATCATTATGCACAGTAAAACAACAGGATAACTGGTAATCAATTTGACATGGACCACATAATGTATATGAAAGTGGATTTGCAGAAGATTATTTAAAACATCACTATCTTAAAAGAAAGATGGAAATATTTGTATTTATTTACAGATAACATTTGCTAACTACAACTGATTGTTTTGTTGTAGGAAATAGCACCTGGCTGCTATGAGTCAGAAAGTGCCTTTGAGTAGATGTGTTGAAAGTGAAAAAAAGATGGGCCAGCAAAACAAGCTGAGTGAGGTGACTGGGTCAGCATATTGCCCACCCCATGTTAGTAAATGAAATGCGTCATGGGCGATAGCCCAAGTTGTCTGAGAATTGTTAGCTTAGCTCATGTTGGTACAAATAAACTTATGCTGGTTTTAACTAGTGTACTCTTTGGTTTTAACAAAGAGTACACTATTCTTTTGCGTAAGGGTTACAGATACCGTTTCTCTGGGAATAATGGATTTAAAGGCTCTTCTACTGACTTTTTTGTGCAAGACCCAGCACAATTCCTTTAATAGTTATAGTGGAATTTATGCATATAAGGCTCAGGGCATAAAAAAAGCACAAATTTTACTTTAACATTTGCACAAACACAAACAAATTACATTTCTTTTTGGTTTCACCATTAATTCAACTACTGTTTTGGTTTTCCACATTTTGCCAAAAGACAATCAACAATCACAATATTCTCTTGAATTCGGGCAACATGTTGCCATATAAACATCTCAAATATCTGCATCTAAAAAAATGATTCAAGTGCTGAGAACGGCCTCAGCAACACTACTCAGATTCATATTTACCTGTTTGTTTTCTTATACTCCACTCTATCTTTGGTTTATCCGCCCATTTTCTATACCCTCTTGTTCAAGTGGAGATACAGCCTATCCTGCCTAAGACGCAGATTACACTTTGGATGTGTTGCCAATTCATCATAGGCAAAATGGGGGGAAACAAAGGTACCTAGAAAGGCTCACACCAGGATTTGAATATTAAAACCTCTTGCTGAGGTCAACTACTGAGGCTAAAGTGAGCCTTGCTAGTGTATGGCTCACTTAAAATTAATAAGTTTGTAAAATTTTCAGTACCAAAATGCAAACATTAGGATTCTTTGAGGATTAATCTATTTAGGAAATCTATCGACTAAACTGACTGATAACAGACATTACAGTTCATAAACAATAGTAAACATTGCGGGTATCTTATAAATTTGTATATTTTATGGACTCACCTCCAGTTCTGAAGACTCTGCAATCACCTCATTACTTTGGATTGACATCACAGACTTCACGGCAGGTTTGGCAGTTGTGGCTTTGGCTTCAACTTGCTTTGTTACTGTTTTAGGTTCAAGATTAGAAACACTTTTGGGGGTTGGAGATAGGGAGATTTGTTGTTTTGGCAATGGCCTTGTCTCCACTTTGCTAGAGGGCCTGCTCCCCTCCCTGGACTGTATTTTTTTCTCGGTGGCCGACGGGGGTCGTTCATGGACTGATGGAGCTCTCTCAGTTGTTACCTCGGTGGTTTTAGGTTCGGGGGTTATAGCTTTGGGGGGGGCACTGGATGTGGAACTTTGGGCTTCTTCTTCATCTGGCAAGGTGAGGATATTCCTTACAGGGGTAGCAGCCACTGGGGCGAAGTCTGGAGCTTTAGCTTCTGAGTCAAATTTTTGCAATGGCTTAATCTGAAGATCAGAGCCCTGCTCATTCTTGTTGCTCTGACTACCATTAGTGCTCGGGGCTGCTCCTCCATCAGGTGCAGCCAAAACTGGTGCAGAACCTGAGGTTGAAGGGGTAGTGGGGCGACTATTGGGTTTACTGTTGGGTTTACTGCCACCTTTAACAACACCCACTTTACTGGATTTATCTTCACTCCAGCCTCTCGGACCAAGGAGTTTGGGGTCTTCTTTGCTGATAATAGCTGGGCTGGGGGAAGGGGTGCGCCCCGGGGATGAGCCGGGCCTGAGGTTATCCAGTTCACTCAGAAGAGGACTTTCAGGCGGTGTGGGTAGCGGCTCCTCTTCAGCCAGCAAGGGCTCATGCATGATTGTGTCTATGTTCTCTTTGTCTTCAACTACCTCTTGTAACACTCTTTTCTTCAAATATTCAGGACCTATGGGCCAGTTCAGTCATTATGTTAGAAACCATACAGCATATGCACAAGTGATCAGTGTATTTTTATAAAAATACATTTGCCATTACTTGGACAGGCTATGAAAAGGAGACTGGACAGCTGTGAATGTGATAAGGGGCAGGTACTTGCAGGAATTTAGTTTCTGATCTGATCTGTTCAAGCAGGTATGCAACAGAGCACAAAAGTGTGATCTACTTATAGTTATTACCAGCAGACAAGCCCTACTAATCATAACAAACGTTCTCTGTCAACATTAAAGGTTTTAGAAAAAAAATCTTACAAATGTTCTAGTTTTTCTGCATCTAAATTGGTTTATTTTCCCTATACTTTTGTGTACTTTATCTATCCATCCATCCTGGACAAGTCGCCAGTCCATCACACGGCCACACATAGACAAACAACCACACTCACTCACATTATTAGGTTATTGGTTATTTTGTTTTTCACAAATATAATTGAAAAAAAGAATAAGTAGTTCCTTTGGTAGGGTCTATTTCCAAAATTAGTGCAAAAATACCACAAAGTGTGATCTACTTATAGTTGTTACCAGCAGAAAAGCAGAATGATTGTCTAAGATTACAATAAACTGAATTTAAACAATCATGTAGTTGACTTATATGATCACAAGTTTTTTTCACAATAATCCAACGAAGAAGCTAAGAGGAATCCGCTTTTTTGAAGACCATTAAAAAACAGATTGAATAAGAGAATCGAGAATCTTAGAGTGTTGTGTTTTTGCTCAGCATTCTGTAACTGCTCTTCAAACAAAATGGAAACAGTTACTGTTACAGCTACAACATTCACAGATACCCAGCACCTATGAATGCTCTTCTTCTTTGTTATTCAAGCTACATAAGAAGAAAAGCAAGAAAGAAGCGGCAGCTTTGCTTTTGTGTCATTGTGTGTCTGTTGACAGGAAGCTTAAACAGAAGTGTTCAACGGGAAAATATTTTAAATAAGTTATTCACTATCTATAAAACGAACTATGCAAAATCTAAAAGACAAAGCTAGACTTTGGGGGGAAATCGTAAATCTGATAACTCTATGTCCACTCACCTGGTTGGTAAAAGGAAGGAGACAGCTCTTTGGCCACCAGTCTGGCAATGCTGGACTCACTGTTGGAGGCCTGCGCAGCCTGTTCAGCTCCATCTGATTTCGCCTTAGCGTGTGCTGTTCTGCAATCAAGTGATGCAATATAAGTTAAAAAACAGTGGCAACAATAGCTCGTGCTTTCCTTTTTCTAACTGCCAGTAGCATGGAAAATAATCTGAAACGCTGTTCTGACATTCTGGAAAATTTGCAATTTTCACAACTTAAGTACAATTAAATATCAGTCTTTGATATAACTGTGAATAACACAATCAGTACAAATCCTGCTACAGGGGTAGTATGGATAGCTCAGCTTGGTGCAAAGGGAGAGAAAGAACAGTCTTTGTAAACCAAAAAGGTGTTAATCAACAAACAATATATGACACCTTCATTAAAGTGCTCGTGAGGTACTTAATATATATAAAGTTTGTTCTTTTTATTCAGTCATGTTCAAATTGAATGTATACATAGGGTTGGGTGGAAGTTGATTCTGTGGCTCATTAGGTATTCATAGACAAAGTGTCCTTTTTGCCTTTAAACCAGGACAAGAATACATTTTGGACAGTAAAACAATAAGTTATTATTGGAGAACCACTGAAGTTTCCATCATCACATTTGCCTGTGTGAGAAGAGGAACCCACTATTGCACCAGGAAATCTGCTTTCCTCGACAACTGGGCAAACCAAACTGTGTGTTCGATGGTAGGACTTTGAATGCAAGTCATAAAGTCAAATTTTCGAATGATTCAGAAACAACTGCTCAAACAGTTAATCCAAAACTGCAATTAACAAAATACTGGTGCAAAGGGAGGAATCAGAGATTACTTGAGTCAGTATGGTATATCTAATACACAAAATATGTGTATACGCTTAAGAAAATACATTTCGTAGTTGTTGAAATTAACTAACAAACTATATCTCAATCGGAAAAAATGAGCGCTGATAACGAAATGCTGCCATACTGCTTTTTTCTCACAGTAACTGAGTGTGATTTATCTGTGGATACTCGTCACATTGTAACTTTACACTGAGCTGTAAATAGCTCCCTGGTTCAGTTTAAAGCTCAGTAGGGAAGATGCATCCCAAAATAACAACTGAACTCTTGAAGTTCCCTGGTTGACATGAATGAGCTTCAACTGTCACACATATTGAGGACTCCCTTCTTCCAACAGCCAAAAAAAAGTCTGTAGCCCTACATATTACCTCTAAGACTTGACAATTGACAAAACTATTAAAAATAAATGAATGAGAGGACACATAATAGTGCTATTAGTTCTTATTAAATAGTACAACATTGAGACCAAATTGGTTCATTTTAAAATATACTTGTCAAGCCCAACTAGAGACAGGACGCAGATGCACAAAAATCCCAAAGAACAGCCTTTATCTCAAGACTTAAATAAGTCAAAATGACTCGTTCGGGGGAAAAAACAACAGATCCGGAACACAACTTACTTAAATGATCAAGGCTAATGGTAATAATGTGGCTAGGTTATAGTGAACGCATGAATATGTGAACTAAAAACAAACACACTGGCACAGCACAAAGGGATACGCAGACTGTACACATGGAGGGGAGTGGGGAACAGGTGGACAAAATGAGGAATCAGGAAAGGCGATCATACTTTTGACACGTGCAAGGTCACGGGACCTGAAATGAGAGGCGAGGTACTGTTTCAAAATAAAACAGGAAATGGGAACTCAAGAAAAAAATCCAAGGACTACTAAAATAAGACACAATTATTGGATTGAAAACACGGTATGGAGGGCAGCATTAACCTCAGACATTCTTGATGTAAGAGAAAACTCTCCTACTGAGCTGTGGACATGAAAGTTTTCAATGTATCAAGTTGACGTTGTCACCACAAATTAAAGACAAACTACATTATGGACTTAGACTTATAGTGTGCATTTGGACAGTTTGGCCACAGCAGAGATGAATTCTCCTTCTAGTTTTGTTCTCACAGCTATAAGCATGTCTGAACAACATCATAAAGTTATGGACTGTCAAATCAAATTTGTGAGCTGAAATCAAAATTAAAACCTTTTCATCTGAATATTATTCATTGGGTCTTTCATGTGGTCTTTATAAATATGAACTTGCGTGAGTTTATCTGTCCTATCTTTAGTCGGCAGACATAGGTTGGAGGAACACTACAAACACTGAGTATTAATGCAACGTGTCTCTCTTCACACCATAAGGGTTAAGGTGTCAGTTCTAAATTTGCCAGAGTAGCCAAGCAAGTTGTATAACTGTCTCATGTTTCTCTTCAACCAAGCATTACTCTACAAATTCAAGTCCCTGAATTCTTTTGGGAGACACCAGTTAGGAGGTAGAGCCTAAATCTTTAAGATCAGAGAGCAACAAAAGGCACAATGTATGACCAATATAAATCTAAAAGTCTTTCTTCGTGTAGGCCCTTGGGTTCTTTTGCTTTGTCTTCTGTTTATCCTGCTGTGATCCCCTTGGAGCCTGCTGAAGGCTGGAGATATCCTGCATGTGCTGCTAGATCTTTGTGTAGGGTCTGGCGCAACTGCAGGGAGAGTGTGTGAGTGTAGACAAGGGAGTTGAAACAGACACAGACTATCTATAAACAGACATATAATTTTAAATCTAGCAAAATGACTTGACCAAAATAATTAAAGTGCTAATTGAAACTTCAGCATTGCAACATTCCTTAGAAGTCATATTGTGACATTGGTATTTAAGGATATATCATTAAGGCCTTCAATTAACACTCCTTAATTTGATTTTTACAATGATACTTCTTAGTAAATAATCAATTTTGAAAAGTCATTCTGCAAGTAGTCATGCCACCTTAACTTTGTTCATATATATTTATATATATATATATTGGTTTCTCACAATCAAACCCAAAATACATTTATCAGCAGTACAGTATGAAACCCAAGCTTTGGTACTAAGGAAAGGTGTGGTACATGTATACACTGACCCTTTATACCCAAGTACCTGTTTATGAGCTGTGTCATATTTTTATCCATGGACCCATCTGACACCACTGCTGACGCTAGATGAACCGAGGTCCTAACTGTTGCAGTCTATCACAGAAGCAAAAGCTCTCAATAGGTGACATAAAGAGACTATATCAACAAGCATACTTCTGTTTTTAAGCTAAGTTAAATAATTAAACTGTTACTTTATTCACTCCTTAACTTTTATAGAAATGATTGGTCATCGATTATTTCTGCAACAGTTCAGGAGTGAATAAAGTAACACTTTGAAATAGTTGTGCAGGTTTCAGAGAACAGATCTAATGCAGCTGAGCATGAAAAGAGTGTATGTTTGTGACCAGACAGAGAAGATGGGCTTTGCTTGGCATTGGGAGGGGGATAATCAGCTGTTGCATTCCCGTGTGATTGTGATACAGCAAGAGTGTACCTTTCCATATTTAGTCAGGACTCCTCTGTGACCAAATGGCCTCAGTGTGCGTCATTTACACCCTGCCCTTCCACAAGGTTCCTCCTCCAAACCCCCAGCAGGCTGCCCATGGTGCAGAACAATGTCCACAGAGTGTATAAATGCCAGCAAACTCTTTAACCAACTGGACTTGAAGAGGCCAACTCTGGCATCCCGAGCAGTGTGCTGCTTGTACATGTATTTTTATCCCTTGACTTCACTGCTAAAAGATCATAGCAGGAGCTAACCACTGCCAGGAACAGATGTGTCATGTCTCCTCCGATTATATAATAAAGGTTTCAGTTTATGTGCAGCACCGCTGGAGAATAGCTGTTTAGTTAGCATAATGGAAGAAAGATCAAAACCATTCCTTCCTAACACAATCTTGGCGATAATGGCTCACAACTTAAATGTGGCTGGATTCTCATTGCAATGTGGTATTCATTTTCTAAATCCATGCAAATTTAGCCTACCATATTCTCATAAACCTGTGACATTTTCCTAAAAAGTCAAGGAAGAGAGTTTAGGAAAAGAATATAAGAAGTGATTTTTTTCTGTTTTCTGAGAACTCAACTATGCCCTAGGATTTACCGCACTCACAGCCAAATTCCGGCCTATACAAGCCTGATAACAATGGCAAGCCAGCACTATTTAGAGTACTTTAAATCTAATTTACAGGCTTTAAGATTCATCCATCCATGCATTATCTATACTGCATATTCCTTGCTCTGGGGGAAGTGGATCCTATCCCAGATCACATTGGGCGAGACGTGATGTACACTTTGGAGAGGTTGCCAGTCCATCATAGGCTCTAATATACTAACCATCTGATTTGCTTTGTCCTCTCTGTTTTCCAGTTTCCCATAAAGCTAATATTTAAGTTCTGCTTGCCCACCACAACACAGTCTTTAGCTTTTTGTTATACTGCATGGGTTTGACTCCATGCTAACCCTGTGCTCTGCCAGTTTGGAAACATCAGATGATTTTTTCAGAACACTGAAATAAGATAAATGTCATTTAAGTATTTCAAATCTAAAAGTACAACATAAAAAATAGCAACTTGATCTTAAAATGCATGGTGTAAATGTTCTATTCTAAAATCAGTAACCTAAAGTATGAAATGATACACAATTCAAGTACTGAAGTAGCACTACTTGTTAAGATAACTTGGTTAAAATGTAGGTCAAGTCTTCCAGTACACTGGGGTCTGTTATTATTTGTCAAAGGCATCAAGAATTTTTTGAACAGTCCTGCATAAAGACTGAGTCTGCTTCCATTCTCAGCCTTGTCCTGATATACTGAATGTGAGCTTAGAGCACTTCCACAGTGAACAATTCTTATATGCTGCTTATACATGCAGTTCAATATTTAGATTTCAATCTGCTGAGACAAGGGTCTGCAGTCTATCAGTGAAGTGTCTCACAGCTGTAAACACCGAGCTACGGTCTTGGTGATGACTGCATATAGACAAACCACACCTTGTACGGTCAAAAAAAAAAGGAAAACTAAAAGTAGATGTGTACATGTTCAAACAATAAATGTAATTTTCTACGATTTGTATTTATAATGAACATGTCTTACACATGTCTTTTGCGTTCAAAACAGGACCCTGGTCTGCAAAACAGTTGAGAAAATTGTGTTAATAATTTGAAAAATGTACTGGGAGGACACTAGGCTCTGAAATTTTAAATAAAACAAACGGCTGTGTGGGAAGAAATTTGTTAACTTAGTTGTGTAAGTTATGCTTTTCTTCACTTGTCTGCTAGAATGTAAAACACACATCGAATGCAAAATAGACATGGTAATAACGTTAAAATAAAGACAAATCTTTTCATAGGTAGTTTATGAAAATTTAGTGTAAATTGTCCTAAAATTTAGTCCTGGAAGATATTAACAGTAGGAGTTGATGTCAGATCTTTATCCTATTCATTGTCCCCCTTTGACATTTATTAAAGTGAATTCCACCTTTTCATATCCATTTGCCATTGCAGTAGAGCGCAGTGAAAGCACAATATAACATTTTGTTAGTACCTAATGTTGGAAGACACAATACACAGGGTCAGTTTGTTCACATACAAAGCAGAAGTAGAAATATTATGACCTTTTTGCAAGTCATAATCTTAAAAAAATCCCAATAAAAAACAGGTAGACCAGCATGGATTGGGACATTTATATATTCAATATATCATTTCCAACCTTGTATGTAAACATTTAACTTAGACGTTTCTGTAAACAGTTGCGTTTAGGTGGCACTGGAACCGACAAAAATAGTAGGAAAAAGATAAACAAATTGCGGTTATCCTTGAATTATTTTCCCACATTTACTGGAATTCCTACAGCTTGCACTATCCACACATTTACTTTCATTTTAAATGTAAGAGTTTAGCACCCAACTAACTCTCATGAAAATTCAAAACAACAAGGGGACAGCTTTGACAGGAAAGCAAATGCTACTTTTCAAAGATTATTCCCAGAATAATGTATTTCACCATCTTATTCTTACCCTCCTCTGCTCTTACCTGGAAGCTGCAATCTCTGCCTTTTGTTTGCCAATGGCTGCTGCCCTCTGAGCACCCTCCACTGCCCGTTCCACCTTCTGCTTAATCTTGGTTCCCTTCAGCTGAATCACCCGCTTCTTCATGGCCTTCACCAGCATGTTGTTCATGTACTTGCCCTCCTCCTTCCCTCCCTCTGCGAACGTGGTGCAGCCATAACCATGTCTTTGATTATTAAGCCACTCGCCCTCGTACTTCAATCCACTGGACCTTTCGCTTATTCCATATCCTGAACGCTTATCATTCTTCCACTCGCCCATGTAGACCTCTGTGGTGGTGGCATCTATGTCAGCTTCTACCGGGGGGAAGTCCTCAGCCCCAGCAAGACTTTCATCGCAGCTGATGGTGGAGTTAGTGTCGCTGGCATTGGAACTGAGAGCAGATTCTGTCCTCAAAAAGCTAATCTTGCTCTTCTGGCTCGATAGTGACGTGCTCGAATCGGACTTCTTCAACTTTCCCAGCAGCGAGCCCCTGCGAAAAAGGCTTTTCTTTTTGGGTTTCACCGCCTCGGGATCCACCTGGAGGGAAAGAGCAAAGCCCCCCCGGGACGGTCCCAGCTGGGTTGGGGTGGCAACAGGTGTTTCTTCACCCGATGCGTTGGTGGTGGTGATGACAGGGATATCTTGCTGTAAGACGGTGCCATTGCTGTGCTCGCTGCGAAGCGAAGTCAAGGACGTACGAAGAGGGGAGCGCACAACTGCTGCCATGCCATAGGGAACACTCTGGCGAACGCCGTAGCCATGTCGCATACCTCCAGTGAACTGACCCTGATAAGTTCCTTGAAAACAAAAAGTCAATTTTATTGCATCACATATTAGAAACCATCGTTTTTAAAGTTTAAAACAAGCTATTTTAGTCTGCAGCATGATGGTCATGGATCAACCAAATCAAAAGCTATGATGGAGATAAATTTGTATAGGTATTCATGGTCTCAAGAGAATGAATCCAAGTTTGGTTTATGATATGTTCAAGTAAAATTGCACCTTGTACAAATAGATGAGTCAAATTAGATTTTTGAGAAATTACTTGCAGAATTGTCATATCACTGAACAGAAACCTGCTTTTGATTCTTAATTGTGTACTTTTTGGGACATAAATAATGATTTATGCCAGAATAATTATCGATTTACTATGTTCTATCAAGAACTTAAGCATAAATATTGTTCACATCTCCTTTAAAATTCCTTCAGAATTAAAAAAAGATCTCAATGCAGAAAAATGTATTTTTTCTTTACCTCAGTGCTGTGTATTACCACTTGCTAAATACTGTGTGCACACATATTGTGCTATCATTAATCAGACATCCTCTCTGGCAAAGATTTAAGTGATAGCTGTGTCATGGAAAGGTCATGTTTTGAATGAAAGATAGCAGTAACACCATAGCATTTGGTCCGCTCTTAACATTGGTATTAAATGTTTTATCAATCTAATACTTAGATTTTTTTTTAAAGCTCAGTTGTGTTGGACTGCACTTATAAAAAGATAACTACATGACACCATTTGTCGTTTCCACAAAACTTTTATCACCACCACTGACATTTAGCCTCACTGTCTTGTTTGTTACTTTGCAAATTTGTACACAAAGTATAAAATAGTCAGTTTTGCATGTTAACATCATCATTTTGTTAGCATTTATCAAAGTTCACTAAGTTGCTAACACTGCTGTCACTAAGATGAGTGATACTGTCTTTAAAATAGATATTTGTTATTTTTAGAATGAAAGGTTACATCAATTGATATCCTCACTGACAAGTCAGCTATAGGACTATTCCCAGGATAAAACTGACATGTACAGATTATAATTCCAGATAGGCCTGAGCAGTTGAGGCCAAGAGGGGATGGAATTTGTAGTTCTTTTATTAAATTCTGATATCTGGTGCTTTTACATTCACCACCACAGTGTCCTACAGACTGGGAACTTGATGGATCCAGGAAACCACTTCCATTGTATACAAGATAAATACATTCAGTTTCTTTTATCGAACTGGTCTCAACTTCAGACTCAATTGAATAAGCGAGAGGGTAAAATACCATTAGATGATTTAATATGCTATGGAAGGGCATATTACTCTTCATTAATTCATGTAAAAATCCATTCCAATAAAATATTATAAGAGATTTGTCATCATCGTCAGCCGCAATATGAACAAATTAAACAATATTCACATGGTTGACAGGTATCACTATCACTATTTAATGGATAACATTTCCTATAAAAAAAAAGCATTTTGATTTCTTGTACAAGAAAGACTTATTTATAGTCTCTGTGAGTAATTGTTTGGTCTGAGACATGAAAATATTACTGTCACGTTCTAACTATTGCAGACAGCTTGACTGACAGCAACAGAGAGGTGTTTTCTTGTGATTACACGCACACACTAAAGGAGGATCATCAGGTTACAATTTTTTTATCTCCAGGTCTATTGAAACAATCTTGGTACAAGTACTTGTTACACTTGGCAAGAAATATTAGGGTTTAATAATAAAATGCGGTTTAATCCTCTGTTATATTCAAGCAAATAACTTGAGTAAAAAAGTAAGGTATACATTATATTTCCATGTCACCATTCAACTTTTTACTCAACGATTTTACGTATTCATTACAGTTTGTCACCAGATAAAGTTAACCACAGCTGACCACTTAGTAGTATATCAGTAACAACAGCCGTATATTATCTCTAGACGGGACTCTTTAGTAACTACAGTAACAGAGTAATGCTAGATTGTAGAACATCTGTAACTAAACTGACTTACAATACCTAAACCTGAGGATTAACTTTTTAAATGATGGAATGCAACAGTCAGAATTTTTTGCACACTTTTACAGAAAGTTTCAATGTGTGTGTCCATGTTTTAACCTGGTATGTTTTGAAGACATCTAGTGCGAAGTATTGTGTACAACGTTAAATGCCAATTCATCCTACTACTTCATACTTTGCCTCCAAATCGACAACAGAAACCTACCCAGATGATCAATCCAATCCATCCATCCATCCATATTCTGACCCACTTATTCCCAAATGGGGTCACGGGGCCAATAGATGAATGGTTTATCACTATTTTTCAAGGCAAATGACTAGTTTAATATTCAGTGTTATATTTCTATTATGGATCTCAAGATCCAAGCCCAGCTTCCTGCAGAGGATTGTGGCTTCAGTTTAAATTAGCATATTATTTTGTTTTTTATTATACGTGGTAACAATACAGTGTATTTTCTTTCTTTTTAACATTCAGACTACTAATGTTGAATAAGATGAATAAAACAACTAAACAGGATACAGCCTCATACACAATAAGATATTCTATTTACTAGACTCAATTGCATTCATGAAATCGATAGATTAAAATTATAGACGGCATGTTTGTAAATGCAAATCTTAACCTTTACTAGCTTTAACATTAGAGGCCATACCTTACCCCTTAGCAACACAGAGGATGTCATCCTAGACATATCAGTGAAAGGGGCGTCTGCACTCAAAACGCTGAAGTAAAATGATTCCGAGTTCCTGTTCACTTTAGTTACAGATTCATTATCTTAGTTGTTGCCAAACTACAAAAACATCATCCCAGCAAACTGACCGTGATCACTTAAGATTTCGACCATGCCTTTAGAGCTGTTGCAGTTTGTGGTCCTCTCAGGGTTTAAAATAATATAACTTAACCCTGTAAAGCCAAATGTATCATATTTGATACATTCGGTTCAAAATCCTATTGTACACAATCAGATACACCTGATAACAGGGGGCAGAAGACTACACAAAAAATAATCTTGGCTTATCGCATAATAAATTATTCATACTAAAATTTTCTTTTTGTTTTTTCTTTTGACATATTTAGTTAAAAGGCCAAATAAGGAATTCAAACCAAAATTTTCTGTTTTGTTTTATTCTTGGATCAGGCTTTAAAGGGTTAAGTAAAAATTTAATATACCCCAGATATGAATGCCTCATGTATGTTATTTCTTAAAAAATGTATTTAATTACATTATTACTCTTTGGTATTACCACTCACCTCCATCCGCATATGTTTCAGTTCCATATCCATCCTGGAGCCCGTTATTCCACGTTCCTTCATACTTAGCCCCACTTCCACCGCTGACCCTTATGCCATATCTGCCCTTAAAGCCATGAGTCCATTCCCCTTTGTAAATCCAGTGTCCTTTGGTTTCAATTCCGAGACCATGGCGCTTGCCTTGCGACCAGTAGCCCTCGTAGGTGTTCCCACTGGGCCAGGTGTAGACTCCCACCACCTCAAAGCCATAGTTCCAGGAACCCGAGTACTCGCCTTGGCCCTTGGGTCCCGTGCAGATTCCGTGGCCGTGGGCTTTCCCCCCCTCCCAGCCTCCGCAGTACGCACCGCCGTCATCAAACTCAAAGCGACCTCCACTCATGCCACCTCAGTCACAAAAACAAAACAAAAACGCACGGATAGGATAGACGGATTTTTCTTTTTTCTGCTTTTCTTAGTTGCTTGACGGAAGAAAAAAGCTCTGATTGTCGTACTTTACCTTCATCTGACATCAAAACTGACTGGAGATATATATCCTCGGATTGGAACTTTTTTTCGAATATCTTCTTTTTGGATTTGGGATATTTTTGAGCCTGTCCAACACTTTGAGCCTGGACACTGTATTTTCTTCCTCTTCCTCAGATTTTCCTCTGTTTCTTTGCTTTTGTTAGACAAGTTAACAGCAAAAACAGGTTTGAATAATAAATGTAGTCGGCTACGAATTACTACAAATTTACAATTTGCGTAAAGGGAATCATTGCGTTATGTTGTTTTCCTGGATTTGTTGCCTTGATTAAGCCAGAGATCTTTCATGGCTTCTCAGGTGGCTGCACAGAAGAGCCCCTTTCCCCCTATCCCTGCCACCCAGCTATCTGTTGTCAGCCGTTGCAGTTGGGAATACTTTTGCAGACCTAACAAGGCGTCCAATCCACACACACACACACTTCCAAAAATACAATCCAATCCTTACTCTGCTGCCTGCAAGGATCCATGCCGGAGTCTTGCCACTTCGGGAGTGAGCTATAAGCCATTCTGGAGTTCAGTTTTAGTGGATATAGCCTACAGGCTGCAGATTACTCGTTAAATAAATGTTGTGCAAGTTGTTGAAAAAGTATCAAACAGACGTCATGATCTGTATAATTGAAAATCAAACTGGATCAACGTTTCCTAATTGAACGCACAAGAGTTAAAGAATATTATACCTGTAAAAAATATTTAATTTGCTATTTTATATGTATAGCCTACATATTCTGAGGGAAAACTTACTTTTGAAGTAGCTTTTAAAGTATATTTGTGTATAATATACAAGATTATTTATATATCTTAAGTATATATACATATGTATACATACACACACACAGTTTTGTGTCAAAAGAAAATAGAATGTAAATTATTTGCAACTACCAGAGTCCATTGGAAATAGACGGTATTGTAAAAACAAGTTTTCCTTTATGTGGGAAACCATTATTATAGCACTCGTTTGTGCCCCCTGCTGAAACTCTTGATATCTGCAGCAATCCTATTCTTAACATTTCAGTGTAAAGACACCCACAAAATCTGAAGTTAATAAGAAACAAGAATCTTTTTGTGCATTATATGTTTGTCAGAACTCAAATTGCAACAACCTCCACTAAAGATAAATAAAAATAGCAAAAAAATGCATTTTTTAAATTAATACAAAACCTACAAGTAACCATCTCCTTTGAACGTTGACTTATACTTTGAATTAGTGGATTGTACCAACAGAAACTTATACAGACAGATTTGAGTGAATCATAATATTTAAGGGATTCATGAGTGAGGACAGATTGTGTGTATTGGATAAACAAACTGGACTAAAGGTATACTGTACCTTCTTTCATTTCAAAATGAACATAGAAAAAGCTGTCCCTTGTGAAAAACACATGCTTATTTAACTTTCTCCACAGCACTGACACTATTTTTATGGATTATATCCCTATCTGAGCTTTGAATAATTTAAGAGGGAACTAGAAGTTATGATTTTAATATGTATTATTTAAATAAATATTTTGGATATAAAAACACCTATGTAAACTTTGCAGACATTTAATTTAGATTGGATTTGAAAGAAATAAGGCTGCCAGTGATCAAATATGTGCATGGCATGTACAGTAGGTGAACAATTGTCCAGGAGATGTCAGTTGAGTGCTGGAATTTCCAGGCATTGAAGTTGAATTATATTGTGTTAAAATTGCTAGCCTGCAAACTAAGCTGTTTAAGGTAACAATATAATATTTGGTGCACTATGTGATAAAAATATGAATAAATTCCCAAAGAAACTCCAAGGTATGAGCAACTATTTACAGCAAATTATAATAAATTGATGAAAGACATCAATGTAGACATAATCAGATGGGATATGTTACTGTTTTCACTGTTTGGTAGGGTAGAGACAGTGAGAATAAATGTTATACCAAGGCTACTGTTGGGTTATGTGTTATATGCTGTTTACTTTTCATTTTTTATATTTTTCACTCTGGGTTGTGGTGATGTCTATTTGGTTCATGGAGTGTGTCAGAGGGCAGTAGAGAGCCCAAGTGTTCACTTGCTGTTAAGAGAGAGAGTATAGAGCAAGAAGCTCTATACCTAAGTGGCTTTTTGTTTGTCTGCCCTGGGTGTGGGTTGAGTCAGTGGTATGTATCTGACTTCACTCTCCCACTTGTGTTCTAGTAAAGCATGAAATGAGATTGATGATACTGATCTGAAATGTTTATTTAATTTTGTAAGAATAAGTCTGAGATAGAGAACTAAACATGATTGCATATGTGACTATGGTTCATGGTGAAACTAATTTATGGTTGTTTGTTTTCTCTTTGAGATTATCAACCTGCTTATGATTCAACAAAAAGTCACAAAAGTCAAATAAAAGAAAGGACTAATATAATAATAATAATAATAATAATAATGACTCGACAGCTACTTTTCCTCTTTCAGTCCTTACCCATTAAGGTTCCACAGTCCACATTTAAGTTGCTGGAAAAGCGTTTATTGAAATAAATTCTTTATCAGGAATATCATTAATAACTCTGCCATTTCTTAGTCAGCAGTAACAAAAAAAAAATAAAACAAGCAACATATATATTAAGCACACACTTCTAGTGTGGAATATAGTGCAAAAGCAACTAAGGGGAGGGGTGGCTTTGTCACGGACCATACCCATACTGGGAAATGTAGAGTTTATAGTTACCATCTATAGTTGACAGAGTCAATAGAAGGTGTTCTGAAAGTGGATTAAAAATAGTGAATCAACTATTTTGATTTCCTGTGGGAGTCTCCCCAAGGGATCAATGAAGTACAAGTCTAAGTCTAATTTGAATGAAATGTGTTCAAATAATTTTCACAAATCCAGGATCAATTCGGTTAACCCAAAAGTAATTCCTACAGATATCTGCAAATCAGATCACAAAACAAACTGTGAGGGGCATTATCAAGACTCCTAACAACACATCAAGTGTCTCATCTATAAAAAGCTAATGGCTGACACATCTGATAACACTCTACATATCAAAGGAGAATGGTGCTCAATGTAACTATAGAGGATGATAAGTAGGAGGATATATGCTCTGAATGTCATGAGACGATTGGGGGTCAACTGTGAAAGGAATTTGATTGGAAAATAAAGTTGAGGTTTTTTAGGACCCCTTTAAAAGTCCGTGTTGGAGAGATTGTGGGACGGTTGGAGACCATACCCATTTATTCTGGGATTGCCCCAAAATACATACATTCAGGAGAAACATTAAAGACGAACTGAAAAAAATGATGGGTCTTAATTTACCTTTGGACCCTGTGTTGTTCTTATTGGACAACATGGCAGAACAAAGTTTGACCAAAGACCAATGCTATACTCTGCATATCTTTTTGATGACTGCCAGGAAAATTGGAACCATTCACTGGATGCAACGAGACCCTCCCACAATATCTGAAAATTAAACTTGTCCAAATGATGGAAAATATGACAGCTATTCTACAGCTGAAATGGCCTTTGTTTATAAGGAGATGGGCTCTTGTTACTCTAAACATGGGTAGAAAGTGAATAGATAATGGAAAGATAGGTATGCCCATGTAATCTATAAATATTATGTGATCCATGATCAAGGTGTTTTTTTTTGTTTTTTTTTGTCAGCCCAGCTGATTGTATGTTTGTCTGTTTTTTGTTTTGTTTATGGTTTTGTTTTGCTGTTGTTGTCGTTGTTGTTGTTGCATTGTGTGATTGTGTTTGCCTGTAAGTTGTATACTGGCAATAAAGTTAAAAAAAAAATCCCAATGAAGCCAAAACTTTTGAAATTTCTGGCTTCTTTTTTAATCCTTTTTCCACAGCTTTTTCAGTGTTATAGTTTTTTCAACTATCTAACACTGACCTATAAACATTGCATGAACAAAAGGACACTGTAACTCAAAGGATGAGCCACTGACGTGAATAGACAACTTGACAAAGAGCCAAATCCATCCATCCATCCATCCATCCATCCATCCATCCATCCATCCATCCATCCATCCATCCATCCATCCATCCATCCATCCATCCATCCATCCATCCATCCATCCATCCATCCATCCATCCATCCATTAATTTTCTGAACCGCTTATTCCCACAAGGACAAATTCCGAAGCCTTACAGACAAAAAATATTGTTTTAGCACCAACAAGGTAAAAATTATTGGAAGCAGGTCTAATTGGGCGATGATTCCCCCCCTAACCCAAGATCTCAGAATGATTGAAGATAATCTACAGAGAACAAAGCAACTCACTAATTTCCAAAGTAGAGCTTTGCAATGTCTTTTATGAAACCCTGAGAGTTGTTCCTCAAGACTCCATAAAGACTTTTGATACTGTTCAGTCTGTATCCCGGAAAATAGGTGGTCATAACCCTGAGCCATGGTTCTGCTCGAGGTTTCTGCCTGTTAAAAGGAAGTTTTTGCTTGCCTGTGTCGCCTAGTGCCTGCTCATGGTGGGAATTGTTGGGTTTCTGTAATTAACTTCAGAGTAGGGTCTGACCGGCTCTGTTTGGAAAGCGCTGTGAGACAACTGTTGTTGTGATGTGGCGCTATATAAATAAGATTGAATTGAATATCTAAAATATTCTATTCTATGTTCTTGCATTCTGTTTTGAAATTATGTTTATAATGACATAGTTTTTCAATATTTAGTTATCATTTCAGAAGCAAAGGGGAAATGTGGCTACTCTGAATAGGACAAATAGTGTAGTTTATTGTGAATAGTCATCCTTGGACACTGTATTAAAGCTTATATAGCGTCCTCCAGGAGACTCTTGACCTTCCAATGAGGCGCTCCCATCGCGAGGCTCCATCGCGCACGCATTTGCGTCCCTCATCACGTGGTTAGATACATTACGGTTTACGTACTGATTTAATTGTGATCAGCACCATGCTCGAGTAAGCAAGTAACGATTTGCATATGGATTAGGTAGTTTTTTTCCCCGGGCCTATCGTATTTAATCGGGATTTCAGCACCGGAGCTGTCCCCCTGACAGATGATGCTGCGTGAACTGGTGATGCTGCGTTGGAGCTGCTGACATCCTCCCTCCGTGTGGCTGTGTGTGTGTGTGTGTGTGTGTGTATCTCCTATACACACACCTCCTGTCCCCCCCTTTTTTTTTTTTACTCCCTCCTCGCTCCTCTCCTCCACACGCACAAAACGCTCTGTCATGGCGTCTTCCAACCATGTTACCCCTACCAACTGTAGCTGGTGGCCCATCTCTGCCATGGATGAAGACGGAAAAATGATCGACGGGGAGGAGTGTGATGAACCGACGGCAGAGCCTAAACCTTTAAACAAAGACAGGCTCGTTTTGTACCACTGGACTCAGTCTTTCACCTCGCAGAAGGTAAAAAAAAAAAAAAATGAGCAGAGCTTAAAAAAAATGTGTAATGGCTCCACGTCTCTTATAGCGTGAAGTTGTATTTGTTTGCATGTTGCGACCGAAGCATATGAGGATATGAGATTGCCTAGCCCACCAGAAACACCAGAAACACGCATGTTTTCCATTGAGGACGTTAAGAGAATTGTGCTGCAGCAAGGCGCACCATTCTCGACATAAAGCAGTGTTTACCTCTGTATACTGCTAATCATCAGGACATAAATAACGCCCTAAATCCTTTCTCTCACCACCATACATTTACACGGTATTGCTATTTTCTGTTCTTACTGAACGGTATGAGCACGGACACATGACATCCTGAATAATTTATTCAAATTGTGTGCAAAACAAACCAAAGACCATCTTCTTCCTTAGCTGAATCACATCCAACTGCTGTTTTTATGCATTTAAGTGCACTATTTACTGCCATAACATTTTGATTAACCGTCCATGTTATTTTGAAAATAGGTCATTGTAATGTTTTACTTTAGCAATTCGAAACTATTGATGAAACCCAGTTATAGCACAGATCAATGAGATTCATGAAGCCACAACAGTGTTTTCACATGATGGAAAGGATGGCATATTTTAAAGGGGTACTCCACCGATTTTAGTCATAACAAGGAGTTTACCTTCCTTTTGCAGATGCTTTTATTGAGTTTAAGGATTTCTAAGGGATTTCAGTGAGATGCCTTTATTTTAGCATATGCTTGTATGACCTAATATAATTTTGAAAAATGATATGCTGTTAGAATTCAAGTTACACATATGAACCGTTATCCATGTGACTGAATAATTCATTTAATTTAATGTGGACCTATCTTAATAACCTCTAAATCAAACATCACAGAACCACTTTTTTATGCAGAATTTTGCTTAAAATTTGAAATTAGAGACTGAAAACTGATACCAGGAATGCCTTTTTTTCTATCGGTGATGAACAATATAAGAGCAGTGAAAGGAGTTTATGAATGTACAAAAAAACAACTGTATACATAAAACATTTGTTGACATGAAATAGACTTCACAAAAAGGGTTGGTGGTGGTTAAATAGTTTCCCTTTAATCTCATTGCAAACTATTTTGAGTGATTAGGTTAATAAACAGCATATTTCAAATTTAAACAAAATATTTATGTGATATTCTGCAGACAAAGCCATATGGTAATGACACTATCCATATCGCTCATTTGATTAATTTATAGGCAGCTAAAAATATAATTTTAATAAAAAAAAAGAGACCATCATAACACAGAATGTAAAAGGAATTCTTCTTTAACTGAATGTTTTGTCATTTTCTATCATTCTTCAATTTCTCCAATTTCTCCAATGTAGGTTTATTATGTTTTTATTAGCTTTACCCATATGGATTAGAAGTAAAAGTTGTAGGCTTCTCTTTATGCAGATCAAATGTTAATTTGCTTAATTCCCATTAAAATGATCCATCAATTGCCTAAACTGCTTATTCCTAGTAGAGTTGCTGGGGGCTGGAGTCTGACATAGAGAATAGCAAAATCATCAATTAACATACATTGATGTTTATGCTAAATGCATAAACATCCAATCTTTTTGGACTGTTGGGTGTAGTGAGTGTCCTCTGAGAGAACCAATCCATACATGAGAACAATGCAGCTCCACACAGAAAGGCCCCCAGTCCACTGGGGATTCAAACTGGCAGCTCTCTTGCTGTGAGGTGACAGTGCTAAACACCACACCATTGTGCTGCATACATCAAAAACCATTTAGTTGATTTAATGTATTCTTTTATAGCCTAAAACAAGAAAAAATAAGGATGAAATTAAATTTTTTTTGTGTGGAGTCTTTATTTTGCCCAAATCTGAACAAACAAAAAACAGAAACAATTTGTTAATATTAAAAATGTAAAGTAAGAAAAATGTGCGATTGGGTAGTCTTCTGCCCGCTGTTATCAGGTAAATCTTGTGTACAACAGGGTTTTGAGGGGAGTTTTCACCAAAAATCGATGCAAAGGTCTCAGATGCAAAACATCTCAGAAACCGAATGTATCAAATATGATACATATGGCATTATAGGGTTAGGGAATGACAATCTGCGTAACTTTTATGTGTCTAATGTCTTGTAAGCCGTCTACCTTAATTCAACGCTTATTGGTGAAGTTTACATATATAATACAGAGAACTGAAAGTTGGGTTGGTTTGTTTTTGTTATTTGCAACTATTTTTAGTTTTTACTATTTGTCATTCAGAAAATAAATATTAGACATTTCCTGGAACTTCACAAAAGAAATTGGGACTTGACTAAAAACAACAAATGAGAAACTTTTGTAGGAACGTGAAATACACAATGATTAGTCATTAACTGAAATAAACAGAAAATAACTGAAAAAACGGAAAATAAATCGAATGAAAGCAGTCTTTAGTTAAAGAGAGCTTTGTTTGGTTGTGATTTGAGATACAAAACCTTTGTATTAGAGGTTAAGCATTTGTAACATCACTGCACATTACTCAGTATGGAATCAATCAGCTGTTTATGAACTGAAGCTTGGTGTTTTATTATTATATCTCCTCACTGTACTTTTGAATCACAAGTTTAAGTTGATGTTCAGTCTCAGGTCTGTATGTCAGTTAAAAGGCTGAATTGCTGGCTCGCAGCCACTTGTATCTGAGCAGCTGAGAATGTCAGTTGTCACTGTAGAAAGTAAACACTTGCCTAAACGTCTTGATTATCAGTACATTCTTTGAGCTGGAGTGACTTCATGATCGTGTGTGTTAGACATAAGAAACCTGAACCAATTGTTGTCAAAACAATTTTCATTAACCAGGATCTTGTTTAAGGTCTTTTCATTACTTCACTGCAGGAAAAAGATGAAAGTATAGCTCTAAAAGACAAATTTCAACACCACAAGGGCCTCTGGTAGAGATGTGCACTTGTAGAGACATCCTTGAACTTTTGGTGTGGGGCTTGCAATGTTGAATCTTTCTGATTGGTTAGATGTTAACAACATTTTATATAACACTTAATTTTTTTCTTGTCACACTAAATGTAACACCCACCATAGCTTGTAAATTTTTTAACTTCCCGCTGTACTTTATGAATGGTTGTTACTGAAAACACAACATTCCTTCTGATTCATTCGTGCCCTTTTTTATCAGATTGGGACATCAGTGTGTGTAAGGGCTGTAGTATGCAAACTGTGGAAGGGAAGAAAGGACCAGAATGATTGATTTATCAAATCTAATCTGTCAAACCAGAACAAAAAACATTACCAGCTTATTGTTTGACTTTGGATGTTCTTGATCGAAATTGAAATGCCTAAAAAATTAATATATCCACCCACTCCCGGAGGAAATTAAGATAAACAAATTTATCTTATATACATTTTATTTTTTTCTGGGCAGTCAAAGTATGTGGCGAAAGAATTCGCACATTCCACAGAAAGCTCCAAGCCAATGTATAAACAAGAAGCTTTCTTGTTTTTGCAGTGAGAGAGCAAGAAGGCTTCTGACTGGAGCCTGTGTCACAAATAACCGTTAAATTGTTGGATGTCTAATTGGACAAGTCAGGGATTTAAAATAGCTCCATGTGAAATTATTTAGTCTCAAAACATTAGAAATCAACATTCAACTTTTGCCTGATTTTTACATTGTGGAATGCGAATCTCTCTTTGCTGGAACTAAGGGATTGGTGTCATTCTTACACATTTCACTGTATGTGTAAGAATTGAAGGGGACATAGAGTTCTAACCTGTTGGAAACTGGAAAAAACCTATTTCATTAATTTTACAATTGCGCTGTTGCTGACATACTTACATTTTTATTTCCTTAGTTGTGCATGTCGACAGCAAAGTATGAGGAATGGTATTTTTTAAGTCTTATAAGTGAAAGTAATTCGCTCAAAACAAGACCAATTTATGGGATGCCATTTATTTGGTAGAAGTAAACACTTCCTGTATATCATTGTCAGAAAAGGATTTAAATAGTCCAAATCACAGGCAACAAAATGCAAATGTATACTTTAGTTAATGGGCAGCGTGTGTAGGTGCATTGTAAAGATGAGATGAAACAACTTTTTTCATTTGAGTGTATTTGGTTATTGCACAGAATTTTTCTTTACTGCACAAGATCAATATGATCAGTATATGTATGACTAAGGGGGACGGGTTCATTCTGTTTTGCGGTTGCTGACTCTGGGATAGCTCTTGGAACGAAGCTGAGTATATTGGCCCTGGTTTTGTATGACCTGTACCGATGGCCCGACAGTAACAGGTCAAAAAGGTTGTTACTGGGGCAGGAGGAGTCCTTGATGATGTTGCCAGTTTTGCTGAGTTAGCAAGAGTTGGCAATGTCTTCTGGGCCAGTTCTTCTCCTGTCTGCTGCTGAGCACCCCACGTACCACGCTGTGATGCAGAATGCCAGGATGCTCTCTATGGTGGCTCTGTAGAAGTTGACCAGCAGCTTCTCCTCCAGGTTGTTTTTCCTGAACACTCTAAGTGAGTGGAGATGCTACTGAGCATTCCTCGCCATTGCTGTGGTATTTGCAGTCCAGAAGAGATCATCAGATATCTGAATGCCCAGGAATCTCATGGAGGCGACCCCTTTCCACACAGTTCCTGTGGATGTAGAATGTAGCCAGGTCCGCTCCACCTTTCCTGGATTCCAAAATGAGTTATTTTCTTTTTGTGGTGTACAGTTGAGGGTTGTTCACTGAACACCACACAGTCAGTCTGTTAACCTCATCTCTGTAGTCAGACTCATTCCCCCCTGAGATGAGTCCAACCACAGTTTAGTCTGCACAGTTTATGATAGTGCTAGAGAGATCGGGTCGTGGAGCAGTCGGACGTGTAAAGGGTGAACAGGAGGGGACTCAAAACACATCCTTGTGGACAGCCGGTACTGAGCGTAATGTTGCTGGACAATTGGGGGCTTAATGTGACGGATTTTGGAATATCTGTAAGGAAGTCTTTAATCTAGAGGCAGATGGGGGTGGGGACACCCAGGTGAGACAGTTTCCGGACCAGGATATCCAGGATGATGTGATTAAATGCTGAGCTGCAGTCCAGGGAGAGCATACTCATGTAGCTGCCCAGGTTCTCCAGATGATTTAGTGTGGTGTGGAGCGCTTTGGTGATCGCATCCTTGGGCGATCGGTTTGCTGTGTAGGTGTCTGGTGGGGGTCCAGAGTGGAAGGTAGACATGTCCTTATGTACTGAGAGACCAGTCTCTCAAAGCACTTTGAGACTACAGGCATAAGTGCAAAATTCTATTCTGGAGAATAAATAAACTCATTGTTTTGTTTACCTGAGCCAGAAGCCCTCAAATTCAAACCAAGTTGATACTTTACAACATGTTATCTCTTCTTATTAATAATATAATATAATATAATATAATATAATATAATATAATATAATAT